CCCCCCTCTTTCAGTGAAAAAATGTGCTGTCGGTGGGGATCGAACCCACGCGGGCAAAGCCCAATGGATCTCAAGTCCATCGCCTTAACCACTCGGCCACGACAGCTGTTCCTGTAACTGCAACAAAAACATATTATATAAGCCCACTAACCCAAAATGCACTACCGGGAACATCGCACTTAAAGAAAACAGCATGGTAAGAAGTAACAATGTCCAAAGTTGCGGTTTCAGTTTCAGTAAGAGCGTTACTGCACTTCCAACACAAAAACGTGATATTATAAGTGCGGAAGTTAGAGGCATTACAGGAGAGTTACAAACACAAAAAAAGAAGAAAGATAAAGGACGATAGATGCTTGATAGGGAAGAAAATGAGCAAGCAAACCACGAGAAAGTACCCGCCAACCACCCACTAACTTAGTTTATGGATTTTTAAAAATGCCAAAAACTAGCAACCCAAAGGACTGGATCGGGGGAGTACAATATGGAGAAGAAGAAGAGACTGACAATGGTCTCTCTCTCTCTCTCTCTCTCTCTCGTCTGCGTAGGCCAATTTGTAAACCTAGTCTTGAAAAACACTGAAAGTTTCGGTTGAGAAAAAGAAAGGACCAACAGGGTATAGAACTGTATTGGCATTACTGACAGCCAGATAATGAATGAGATCTCAAACCATATAAAAGAAATTATAAAATTCAAAACATTTTTCCAGCACGTAATGAACACAACAGTGCCGAAGATTAGAGGGTTTACAAGAGAGTAACAAACACAAAATAGAAGGAGGGAAAATAAGGCAGGACGATAGATGTCTGATAGGAAAGAAGGAGCAAACCACACCAGAGCACCCGCCAACCGCCCAAAATCGACAGCATTTTCCAAAGGAAGAAAAAAGAGACGTGTGAGTTTGAGTAAAGTGAAGCCCGTCAACGGCCATTTAGTGCAATACAGTAGCATGACAGAGAGACGGAAAAACGAAGGGGAAAAAAGAAAAGAAATGAGGACGACTTATGGCGCCCTCCAATCACCAACAAAAGAAAGAGAAAAGGCTGAACGACTTCCCAAACTCTAACGGACAGACACAAGACACCGCATAAATCACAGCTTCGAGATAATGCCCGCATAGCGCCCGAGGGCAACATGATTATAAAAATATGACGTGAGAAAACGGGAAAGGTGAGGAGAGAGAGAGAGAGAGAGAGAGAGAGAGAGAGAGAGAGAGAGAGAGAGAGAG